GCCGTCTGAAGTTAATTAAGTTTCCAGAACAAAGAACGGCAAGTGGTGATTTTCCGATTTAAAAATTCACGAAGAGTTCAGGTAACTTCTTTCACAGCAGACTTCGTAAAGTTTTGGAAAAAATAACGCGTCTAAAACAAACAGCCCGATGTCCCACAGGTCTAAAACAAAGAGGCCGACTCGCTCAGCTTCTTGGGTAAGTTCGATCTCCGGAGCGGCGCGCAAATTGGACATCCACCCATATCTGTACATTACACTGCGGGCTCTCTTTAAAAGCAGGGAGGATATCGGAGTGTTTGTTTTAGAAGCAAGAGACAGGCCTATATTCTCAAACTACAATAGTAACGGAACGATTTTATTTCTAAAAGGGAAACGTTTTCGTGCACATCCAGATCAGATGCAATATTGTTCCTAAATTTGGACAAATTATATGTAAAACTTTACATGACTTTTCTAGTTTCAAAAATAAAATAGCATTCGAGGTGCGCAGTCCAAATTTTCAGGCATTGACCATGTAATTCAAACTTTCGAACTATGTTGTAAATTTATGACAGCCTATCTTGGTGAATTCCAATTCAATTTTGAATTGCAATTTTACGGCTCACTTTCCGTGAAAGCCACGACTATTTTAACAGTGCCATTAACGTAAATTAACGAAAAAACAGAGTTATTTTCCGTTTCTCCTTAGCATTAACAGAAGAGAGTAGATAGCACAAGCTGATCAAAGCAGAGGTTAAAACGCATATAATACTGGTTAAGCATTTTCTTTCTGGATGACTTAAAACCTTCGGGCACCCACTAAAATCTGATGAATATTTTTATTCAGACACTGAAAAGGACTAGTAACTGGTACCAGACGAATCCTAGTTAAATGGCTGCTAGTTTTAACAAGTAGGGTACGCTTTACTAGAAGTTTACTATGGTTTACTAACACAGGTAGATTAACAGGTACCAGACGTCTATTAACTGAGTCTGATCAGTTTTACTGTACTGTATGGTAGTTTTTACCAGACTACACGTTTACTAGGCTATGCTTGTGGTCCGGTGGCATCATATTTGTTGCGCACGCCCCTCTTATGGTAGTCACCGTAGTCACCGTAGTCACCGTAGTCACCGTAGTCGAGTGGTCTAGGGCGCGGACTTCCAAGGCTAAGGTCCACGTTCCGAAACTCGGTAAAGGGAACGAAATTTCGCTATAGCGAGGACCCGAGGACCCGTTGTAACCGTAGTAAGGGACAGACAATTTCTATAGTGCATCCGTACTCATTTCAAACACGTTTTAGAAGAAAATGTGTGGTACCTGTAACTAAGCAGTCTGGTAAGCGGTACTAGGAATCGTGAAAATGCGTAGTATCTGTAACTAGACATCTGGTAAATTGTACTAGAATTTGGGTTACTAGCCCGTCTCGTATCTTTTACTAGACTCCTAGTTGGTTCCAATTTTACTAGACTGTGTGGTACCTGGTACTAAGATCCTATTAACTGCTTTCTTTTTTCAGTGTAGCTCACTGACATCTGTAAGCATGCTCCACTTACATATTATCTTTAAATACGCCTGTACAAACAAATTTGTTTATTCTGGCGTTTAAAAAAATGCTTCAGCCGAGGGATAAATCACTTGCGAAATAGTTCGTACACCTTCCCCCGAAATAGTCCAAAATAAAGGCGAAATAGAGCGAAATAAAGACGAAATAGTCGGTGAAATGGTCGCGAAATACCCCTGAAATACTCCGAAATAGGCGAGAAATAGCCGAAATGGCAGGAGAAATAACCGAAATGGCAGGAGAAATAACCGAAATGGCAGGAGAAATAACCGAAATGGCAGGAGAAATAACCGAAATGGCAGACGAAATAACCGAAATGGCAGGAGAAATAACCGAAATGGCAGAAGAAGTACCATGAAATAGTCCGTACGCTACGAACCCTAGTGATTTCCCCCTCGGCTTCAGCCTAGTTTACAGAACGCAGTAAGCTACGACTAAAAACGTGTATTAGATTTAAGGGTGCCCGTCGGAAATCTCTCCGCATCATAAAACTCACGAATTCACGGCACTTTTTCTTACCTGAAAGTCTAGGTAGTTCGTGCTACCTAAGCTCTGTAGGCGACCCATAGCGCATCGCCCTCTCTGTCAGCCATCAGTGGAGATCTGCCGCACCGCTGCAAGATGTAAAGTGGACCTTTGCTGGAGGCCTGGCTGGTGTCGACGACTTGCGTGCGCCGTTCGGCCGCAGTGCATCCGTCATGAGGGGTGCGTGCGCTTGCGATCTGTTTATTTATCCAGGGGGGGGGGGGAGTTGGGAAAGGGGAGGGAACGGGGGAATGAGGGACGAGGTCTTCCCCTTGTATCGGAGTCGCTGCTGAAAGGCCTGTGAAAGGGGAGTGCACTTAGCGAACAGTTCCGCAAAGTATGTGTTTCTCTCAGTACCGGACTGTAAGAAGCACGGACCATCCTTCATAGGAGATACCTCAAGGACCGGGAGCGAAAGAACATCAGGGACCGGGCCCCTAACCTTCGGGACCGGGTCCACAAGGATCTTCATTGTTGGTGGCACCGAATATTTTTTTTTTTTTGTTCTTGCCTACCTGCTTGTAACTGCAAGGAACTGTTTACGTTGAAATATTTTGTTTTGTTGAATTTTACCTGAATGGAGAGGGACAATTTTTGTACGATTGTACATGTACCTTTCAGCACATCTCCATCAGATACAAATTTGTCTGTACAGAGGTACAAAAGCTGTACTTTGTATGTAACGTAAATACGAATTTGTATAGTTTAGATGTGCACAGAGTCACATCTACACTGTCACATCTGCACTGTTAAAAAGTTCAGATTGAAATTTTAGTTTTTGGTAGTGTAATTAATATCACTTTTATGTTTTGAAATTTCATTACATTACATGAAATAGAAGTGGTTTTGAAATTTAAAAACTTGTGTATACACTAAATCTGAAAAGACTTTTATTGTCCATAGAATGACGCGTTTTTGTGCACATCTCAAAAAGATACCAATTTGAATCGAACAAATGACAAATGACAAATAGTATTTGCATAGAATAAATCTATTTAAGATTTAGAGTGAAATGAAAAATCAAAACCTAGTAGAAATTAACTAGAGAGATATAAGTACAGTATTGGTATCACATTGGTATCTTATCACATGGGTACTGATTATTTTTGTTAGCGAAACATCGCAGAACGGCGGAGCGATGAAGGCATACGTCGCTCTCGTAAGAAAACTCACTAGCGTTATACAGTGAAGGTTCTAGCTGAAATCGTGTAGTCAAGTCAAAAATCATGCACTATCAGTGACACCGAAAGTGTGAATCAATAATCTATGTACCGGAGACAGTCCGATAATAATTTCAGAATCAACAAATTATGTGAAAGCATGCATATGATTCCGATTCCTCATGTAGGAAATCTGCTTTTCAGTTTTCGCGGAATCGGTATGCGTAAATAAAAACAATTCTTGTTAACTGTAACAAGCAGGCCCGCCCTTCCCCCAAACGAAGTTGCCAGCTCCGCTTCGCTCCGCCGTCAACTCCGTTCGGCAGGGGCCGGGCCTGCTTGGCCTGCCGGAGGCGATGGTCGGGCCTGCGGCCCGACCATTCTGTCACACGATTTGCTGAAGAACACGATCGAATGATGTAGCGGGCCTTCGGCCCGCTTTAACCCGTAGTCTTTGAGTTTGCCCCAAGACTCGAGAAAGGGATGTAACGGTAAAGCACCGCGACTACAACCCACCCTTCTGCTTACAAAACGTTTTTTGGGGGTGGTGGGAGAGTTTCTTTCCTTTTTTTGTGGTTTTTAGGCCTTTTTCTACAACTTATTGTTCACTATGGCAATTTTTAGCTTATTTTCGTCAAAAAAGACCCTCTAGCGAGCGACTAAACGGTTAGAGAAAGAGCAAAACGGACACAATTTTCGGTCCAAGGGCTTTACCTGTACGAGTTGCCCGTTAAGTGAATACAAAACAAAATACTTATCGGGAGAATTTTTAAACCTTGGATACCCCCTTTCACACCCTTAGGGGTGGTTGCCAGGATTTGCCGTAGGCGTTTCGTTCTCTAGGAATGGACCTTAAGATACTCTGAAAATTTCAAGTCTCTAGCACATCTCCGTTTAGTGAAACAGACAGACACACAGACAGACAGACACACACACACGAGGTCGTTTGCATAAACCCGCTGGATAGCTTTTGCAAAGCAGAAGGGCGTGCTAAAAACGAATCCATGTTTGGGGAAATTTAGTATTACACGGTATTACACGCAGAATTTTGCCATTTTATAGCATATTTTGTTATTTTTCGGTATTTTTGGCTGAGCGATTAGCGAAGCCTATTACTCCTGGATTATTACTCCTGGAGTCCTGGATTTTACTGAATTCTACATCAACAAATACATGTAATTGACAAAAATATCGAGTTTGGGTGCGACGTGTCTGGGTACAAATAATCACTGTTCCAAACTTCTTATGGACGAAATGTCAGGGTGCGAGTTGTCGTAGGTACGAAAACGGCCGGGGTGAGTTGCCCTGTTACCTTTTTTTACAGTTTTCAAAGGGGTAACTCATCAAAGTAGATCCCTTTGGACGAAACTTTCGTCCGTTTGGCTTTATCTTTAACCATTTAGGCGCCACAGGGAGTTTTTGACGAAAACAATTAAGCGAAAAAATGTACAACCCTGCATGCTTAGTCGAAGTGACGGGAAGTTGACGGGCCGGAGGCCCGCATCTTTGTGTACATTTTTTGCTACCCGACTTGGGTGGCAGCGCCGCAGGCCTAGGTAGACGTATGCCAGGCGCGTCGCAGCGCAACAGTGTTTCGTGAGATATCGCGAAGCCTGTTACGCGAGACGTGGTCTGGCGTACATCTACCTAATTCTACACTGCACAAGTAATACCTCGTAATACCCAAGTACGGTGTACAGGGTATAACGGGAGTGAATACCCCCTCGAAAATGGACTCCTTATTTTTATAACTGCACACAATAATTCGCGTGGGTGTGTTAGTGCATCATACAGGGTGGGTGATCCGCGCCGTGGTTTTTTTCTGCTTATGCTGTACCGGATTCATGCGTGCGGGCGGGCTTGCCTATCGTCTCTCGCCATGGCGCCTTACGGCCCCCTGCAAGTATGCAACCCGTCCGCACGCATGAATGCGGTACAGTATAAGCAGAAAAAAACCACGGCGCGGATCACCCACCCTGTAGACTCCTAGTTTTAAATTTTACACTATTTTTTACGAGGGCGGCACGCGAGCGCGGAGCAGACTACTCGGAGCAAGTTGTTCTTTGTTGGGCTGTTACCCAGACGCGAATCAAAATGCAACATGTGGTGTTGAACGATCACGCTCTTCCCCCCTGCGCCGCGGTGTCGGGTCCATAAATCACAAGCAGGCCCGCCCTTGTGGGGCCTGGGCCAGGCCTGCTTGTCCTGCTGGCAGTTTCAGTTACAACTGAAGAACACAGTCAAATGGAGTAGCGGGCCTTCGGCCAATTGAAGTTGCCGTCTTTGAGAAACGTGTGTGATTACAGACAGAGAAAGACACAAATCAAAAGAGCTCCCTGCATCTCATGACAGCAAAGGCTTCGCTAGCACTCCGCCAACTACTTACTTTACTACTAGTGTCACACCGTCGAACAGTGCGTCAAGTTTGAGACTAAATCATTATTTGTTGTTTGCTATGAAAAATCCAGGGAAGGCTTTGTTTAGTGGTGTATGGAAAGTCGCAAAAGTCTACCAAACTGAGAGACAAAAAAAGATTTTCTTCATTATTAAAGATGTCAATAGACCCTATTCAGTCTCGGCTCCGGGAGAAGAAAACAGGAAACCCGACCGGAACCAGTACCTTTATCCTGCCATTTCTTCGCGAGAAAACTTGCAAACCCGACATAAAAAATTATCACAAACATTGTGGATTGTGCTTCTACCTTCGAAAGCCATTTAAACGTTAAAATAGCGTTTTTTATTGGAACTGGTTCCGGTCGGGATTCCTGTCTTCTTGTCTTTTAGCCGAGAACGAATAGGGTCTATTGGTTATTAAGTTCGTATGGTATCGTATTAATGTTCATTTATAATGGATACGTTATTAAAATAAAATATGACAAAATTCTTAAGTATTTTTTTTATTAACGCTAATACCGATTCTGCGACAACTAAAAAGGAAATTTCCCACCATTTAAGGAATTGACATCATATGCATGTTTTCATATCATTCGTTGATTCTGGGAAGAGTGTTATGAATGTTTTTTTACAATGTAGGCTAAAGGCCTGTTTAACAAAACTTGTGGCTCTTTTTAGGCAGTATAGAACGTCGTGACGTACACACACCTGTCGACGCGTTTTGTCCCAGTCGAAAAGATTTGCTGGTATTGATGGGGACAGATACGCCACTCTACAGTCTGCTAGAAAAGTGGCGTATGGAACTTGATGGGTCAGCACCTCAGTTGTGGAAGCAGGCTCTGTTCCAAATTCGGCGATGCAAAGTAAGTACTGCAAAGGAATAAGGAGGGAAAAAATAGAGGACAAGAAGAACAAAAATTAGTTTGCATGTACGTATATTGTATCAGAGCAGACCAATTCTGCATTGCATTCATAAAGTCGTCGTGGAGTATGGCTAGACGCTGAATAACTGTGAAAGAAATGACGTCGCTTGTCTCTAATGCAAAGCACTAGATACGTTCATTTTCGCAAAAGTATTTAAATATCGAGGGGGTGGGGTCCTATCTCGTTCTCTGTCCAAAAATAGGCATAAAAATATATTTTTTCAGATTTTTTGGACAGAAGTAAAAGGTCGCGCCGGCCTGTCAAAGTTAACATGCAAGTCTTATGGGACAAACGGCTAAAAAGTGTTTTTCGCCTTTTTCTCTTTCAGTTTCAATTAATTTTGAATTCTGTTTGGAGAAATGGAATCTACGCGTAAAAACACGTCCGGTGACACACGGTACGGCATATTCGTCCTACTAGCTTTCGTGCTGTGCTACGCCGAAAGAGTCTAAAAAGGCCAAAATTTACTTTATTTTAGAAAAAAAATAATTTTATTTTGAGTGCAACAACTCCGATTGGCACATTAGCGGGCGTATTTTTACGCGTAGATTCCATTTCTCCAAACAGAATTCAAGAAATATTAAAACTAAAAGAGAAAAAGGCGAAAAACATTTTTTAGCCGTTTGTCCCATAAGACTTGCATGTTAACTTTGACGGGCCTGCGCGACCTTTCACTTGTGTCCAAAAAATCTGAAAAAAAAATATGCCTATTTTTGGACAGAGAACGAGATAGGACCCCGCCCCCTCGACATTTAAATACTTTTGCGAAAATGAACGTATCTAGCAAAGCACGCACGACAAGCGACGTGGCAGAAAATTTGGAACTCTTCGAACGGCTTGTAGAGGACCCTGCAAGAACAGCTAGCGCACTAATCGCAGAACGCTGTTAGTTTTTAACCCATACAATCAGCTAAAAACAACAACTCGAGGACTCTTTTCGCTTTTTGGTAGTGGATGGCACCCATGTTCGTCGTATTCGTGGCGCGCAGCACGGTCGACCTCATCTTAGCACACAGCCTGGCCGGCATCCAGACGCCGCTGCAGCACGTTGCCAACGTGTACAGCGCCATGTGGGCCCTTTTCTTCTTCGCGGACTTCTCAGCGCAGTGCAGCGGCGTCCTGCAGCGACTCGCACATGTCTCAATCAAGCTGGAGCACGGGAAGGACGCGGCCACGAAGGTGGGAAGCAGATTTTGCACAATTTCATGCTGAAGTTGTACTGTGCATGATTATGCATGAATACACTGCATGTTTATACACAACAAAATGTTTGAAAGTTCACAAAGAGAAATTCCTTGCACAACTTAGTACGTTACGGCACATCCATATTTCATGTAAAATTTCTTAGCTATATTGATGTATGAGTTCCTATATACTCATATAATTAATAATCTGTGAAAAAATAATTTCACAGATCGCCCAGGTTTCCGTAGCTCTGCTATGTTTAGTTCTGCAGTGCAGTGGTGTCTGCTCTAGGCGATGCTGGCGCGCGCGGCGCGGAGGCTTCGCGTGGTCGGGCACGTGCACACGGTGCTGCAGTGGCTGCACGTGGTCGTAGGCAGCTTTACCATCCTCGTGGCGCAGACCCGGCACTCCAAGGTGTCGGCTCTGCTGCGCACCACGGCTCTGGGCGCCTTCCTGGACGCAGTGCTCAG